TGTTGCTCGTCTACTATGGCTTCAGGTGAAAACCATAAGCGTGGCCGATAAGAGCTGCCTTGATCGGCACCACGGTGGGCGCCAAATGTTCCTACCGTAAGTCCGTTGTCATCCTTAGGGTCAAATGGATTTTTTTACTCCAAAAAAGTCTTTTAAAATCCTATAAAATCCTAATTAATTATTGGTATAACACATTGATTATTGACATGAAACGTAAACAATTGATATGTAACATATAAATAATATTATGTTATAATGTGTAACATCAGCAATCAATATGTCATGTAATAGTCAACTATTGACATCAAATGTCAATTAACTAGGTGAAAAAATGTGTGAATTTTATTTAAAAAAATTAGGCAATAAAATGTGCAAATTCAGAAATTTGGTTGCAATTAGCGAAATTGTGAAACATGAATGACAAAAATACGATTAAGTATTGTATTATGATAATATTCTGAACTGTGCAACCTTGATTTTGTACTTTGTAGGTTGCTGCTGTGGCCGTTCTATGCGTGCAACCAGAGCCAAGTTACCGTCCATTGATTGCAGATGTTCTCCACTCACTCATCCCTCTTGTGCCTGTAGAGCTTGGAGGAACACTCAGAGTTCCACAACAGTCACAGCAAGTCTTACCCGTTGACTCACCTGTGGATCCTAGTCAACAATCAGTTTGAGACAACATCACGCTGTGAGAATCCATGCAGGACATGTTTTTGTGATGCTAAACCGAACTAGTGAGGCTTTACCAGGGCTCCAAATTATACTGTAATAAACGCACGCAGCCCTGGAGTGATTGAGAGGACTTAGAAACAGAGAATTTGAGGACAGAGTAGGCATAAGTGGTGTAGAGGACCATTGGATTGTTAATGATAAATGCGAGGAAATTGATTTCACTATTGTGTATAGAGTGGTGATATTGTGGAACATTGAATTGTTCAGAGAGGATCTCATTGTCTTTCCTTCCCTCCTTTATCAGCAATCAGCAAATCGTATTTAGCAAACCAGACTACAACAAATTCGTACGTAAATTTTAGAAAAATACAAGCAATGCGTTCCAGTATACACTATCGATGATTGAAACTTTATTGAACTCGCATAATAACGTGACTTTCACTGGTTATAAATTAGTTTCACTTATGATTTTGCATTTTCTAATAAACTTCAGCTAACAACACAGTAAATTTAAAAGAATATGTCAGACTAATTTGTATTTGGCTATTCTTGCCTTTATTTTATTGGTTCAAGTTGGCAAACCATATATATATAGTCAAATATTTTACGTTCTTGGTTCTTCTGAAGTACAATAAATGACAAGGGTGCACTCTCATGGTTTATTTTATCAATATAAATGATGCGACCACATTGGAAGCGCGATTTAATAAAAGGAAAAAAAAATACTGACCAACCACTGAAGCACGTACAAGTACAGCCAACAAAAATATTGTTACCATGTTTTATTCAACCTTACCCACATAAAATGAGAAACATACTCACTGTGCATCAATACTTTGGTTCGACTAGCTTTAAGTCTGAGAAGCTGACTCGTTATGCCTCTGATACATTTTGAGTTTATTTGATTCAAAGGTTACAAAATTTCCTAAGGGACTGAGGTACATATGTATGACAATTAATGCATACATAAATTAATTATTTTCATCTATGCCAATCACTCCGATTGGGTATAATACTCGCCAAAAATATAATATTGGCTCTTCAGCATATCTCATTGAGTTTCAGCTGACATTATGGTATGAATCAATAATAGCATCCGCAAGGTATTCACATTTGGCCAACGACAATCCTGCCAAGGAAATCCTTCCATCCTTTGTCATGTATACATGCCACTTATTTGTCATGTTGTCACTCTGATCAGACACAAGATATCATTTAAGAACAACACAGTCAATATTGCAATACAGTAAAATCAATATTATATAGGTAGAGTCGATGTAATAGGGCTCAACAAAGTGTATACAAGCCACAAGTTGATCATATGCAAGAAGTCATGACAGGAGTCAATTTAATTACCTGGTTCTTGTTCAAGCCGGTGAATGAGAACATGCCTATCTGCCTAAGTATGAATGACCAATCTTTTCCACTCTTGTCTTTTGAAGTAATGCTATCATATAGCTGCTGCCTGACATTCTTTATCCTTCCGGCCATCATTTCCATCTCTGCTTTCCATTCATTAAAGAGAGCAGGGTTCCCAACAACATCAGCAACAATCCTAGCTCCATGTACAGGTGGATTAGAGTACATTGGTCGTGCAAGCCTTTTCAACTGGCTCTTTACCCTGAAATGCACGGTTACCACATTGTTAATCAAGACACAACTTTTACTGAGACATATATTACACTGAATCCCTTATCAAGTTGAATCTAAGATGTCATCTTTCTTCTTTTTCCAGTACGCAATGGTGGCAATGAAGATAGAATTAAGTCCTCATGTATCTACTCCAATCCCCTATCACCACTAGGCCAACTTTAGTGGTTCAAATGCCTTATTTCTTAAAACAGAACTTGAGCTTTTTGTCACGATGTTAGTTAAGACTTAAGACAGTGTCATTAATATAGTATCGGATTGCAACTATTTCCCACTATATGTACTTAATAAAATGATCCGTCTCTTTTCTTCAAAAGGAATAAAAATGCACAGGAAGGAAGCAGACAGATTCAATCTTTTTCTCAGACTTGTCCATTCAACTTAAGATATCAGAAATAATGGAAGACTTAATTTACCATACCTTGCTGCAGATTCTGGCGATGATGAAATCACATTGATTGCTCCAATCCTTTCAGCATAGAGACCAAGGTTTTTGCTGTATGACTGAGCCACTAGAACCTCCATGCCACATGCCACAAACAGTCTCACAGAAGCTGCATCTTCATCAAGGCTTCCACTAGCAAACCCCTAAAATTAATGAGGAGTTCAGCATGTTGCAAAATAGGTTCCAGGTCTTCAAAGATTATGTCATGATTCCAAATATGTTAATGGTTTTTTAAATAAGCTATTTCAGAAATTTACTAAAAAAATAGCTCATTTACCCAAAGATTGGTACCTGGTAAGCAACATCAAAAAAGGGAATGTGGTTCTTTTCTTGAATTACATCAGCTATTTTTTCCCACTGTTCAGGTGTTGGATCAATACCAGTAGGGTTATGAGCACATCCATGAAGTACCACAAAAGATCCTTCTGGAGCTGACTGTAAAAACATAGAAATGTAAAATTAGGCAGAGTTGAATCTTATATTGAGTTGAAGTAATCTTTAAACTAAATAAAAATTTATGTTTCTACAGGTATTCCTTTGTATAACAAGACACAAATTTACAATCACCAAATCAATTAAGCTTTGAGAATATCATCACACTGCAATGGCATGTTACTCAAAACAAATTGCATTTCAAGTGAAATATATTTTTGAAAACATGCACTTTGAGAAAAGTTAACTAGTGTTGAGACCAACAATGAAAGGTCAAGAGGAAAAATACCAAAATAAAAACATTCTTGCATATTGGTTTCTAGTTCAAAAAAAGCAGTTAAACACAACACTGTTCATAGATCATTTCACTTTTTTAAATTCTGAATCAAGATGTAACCTTTATATCTTCAATCATGCCCTCAAAATCCAAGCCAACTGTCTTGGGATCGTAATATCGGTACTCAGACCATGGGACTCTAGCATCATTGAAAATATTCTTGTGGTTACCTGTAAGACAATAGTGTCACCCAGGTTACATGATCTCCCCAACAAATATCACAACAAATTTAAACAGAGTAAGCGGTAAAATGCACACCCCAGGTAGGAGCTGATATCAAAACTTTTGCCCCAGGAAAATATCGTTCTATCAGAGCTGCACCTAGTCGCAGAGATCCAGTTCCAGAAAGACCTTGGACAGTGGCAACCTGGGTGCAACTGAATAATGTAAGTAGAAAAAAAATAACTTTCCATTTGTTGTTTCTACTTTCTACTCAATCATGATCAATAAAACATAAAGTTCTTCAAAACATCTATATTTTTTAAATCAACTACATACTCTTTGCTGTTTGATTGCTGGGTTGTCTGCTCCGAGTAACAACTCTGCAGTTGCCTTATTAAAGGCAGCCAAACCCTCAATAGGGAGATACTGCACTTATAAGTTAAATCACAGTCAATATCCTAAAGACCAATGGCTCCACACCACACATAAAGACACATGATGTAAAGAAAATTACCTCTTTGTTATCCCCTCTCTCCAGCATAAGATTCTCTGCCTAAAAAACCAAGTATTTCATTTAAATCAACATTAACTGAATTCAAAAATAGTCTTAGGTTTGGGAACCTGAAGCAATGAGGAGAATTGAACCAAGCAAACTGGGGACACTCAAATCACAGAGAACACATCAAGTATGGAACAAAGACCTTTTTAACAACATTAAGCACATATGGCTGTAGTTCTTCCGTTCTGTATGCCCCAACTCCAAGATTGAGCTTGACATCACTTGTGTCGGCTTTAAATGCCTCGGAAACTCCAAGAATTGGATCAGGAGGAGCCATAGGAATGCCTTCAAACTGAGAAACATTAACCGCAACAGTCATAGAGATCCGACCACCAGACTGAAACAAATTTGATAGAAATCGTATTAGCACACTTGCACACACACAGTTTTTACACCCTCACACTCCTTAATCCTCATTAACTACTTTTACTTACAACTACAAAAATGTTCTTCCATCAAGTATGAAATGAAAAATGGGAATATAATTAATCATGATCTAATTTGAATTTTTATTTTAAAAAAAGTTTAATTTATATACACTCATTATAAAACATCTCTACACAGACACAAATACAATATATAGTCCTACCTGATACGAGCAAGATCGTGTTACAGTCCAACTTCTATTAGCAAGCCCAAAAGAAACATTATTAGCCTTTTATTAAAAATAAGAAATAGGAAATATGTTCTAGAATACAAGTTTGTTAGGACTTGCTGAAATCTGTTGTGCACTCTTACTAGTAGTATGTTATATATAATCATTGTATTACTCTAGTAGAAGGGATAGAGAATTAATCAAGAAAAGTAGCTTCTATTTCCCTTCTTCCTTAATTTCTTAGGAGGCTCGAAAAAGGATTCTTAACATATTGTCTCAAGTAAAGGATACCTGAGGCCAGCCGTCATCCACAGGTAAGATTTTATCTTATCACTATGCATATTAATGCATGGGATGACATGGTAAAGTAGTCAAATCTTATTGAATGTATGTATAAAGATGTTTTATACCATCATGCATATAAATTAAACTCTAAAAAATACTAGAGGTGATGTTAATTTAACAACCCAATCGAAAGTGGTTAGCGAAGAACACGAATAAGTAACGCTTAGTTTGCCACTAGTCCTACCCAATAGATCGTAAAGTAATATGAAATGAAATCACAGTGGACCCAACCAAAGGCAAAGCCAAACAAAAATAAATAAATAAATAAAATTGAAGTAAGAAAGAAGCTAAGTCATTAGAACATATATACCCTTGAATTAGAGAAGAAGTTGAGTCCTCTGTCAAATCTCAAATTGCTACCTCCAATCTTGGGCTTTCCCTGTCGGAATCAAAAAAGGGTAATCATCAAAACGCGCAAAAGAATGTGGGAAGAGGCCAAAAGAGGTACCTTGTTGAGGATTTCGCGCGTAGAAGAGGGAGAGAGAGAGTGCGAAGCTAGGGAGAGAAGAGAAGAAGAAGCCATCTGCAAGAGAAACGGTTATGAAAGAGAATTATGAGTAAAAGATTGATCAATGATTTGATTCAAAAAGAGGTTGAAATGAAAATGAATTATAGCGTAGAGAGTACGATGAGATGGAACAAGTACGTTTGGTTTGTGTGAATCACTTGGAAAGAAGGAAAGAGTGGGCGACAAGAACGAAGTGAAAGTGCCTAACCTTACTGATTTGTCACCAACGACAAATTGTCACGGCTTCGCAGGTTCATCACATGTTTTCGTCGGCTTAATTTATTGGTCTTTTTATTTTTATCAATCGTTTAATTTATAGTTTGATTCAATGTAAGATTTTTTTTTTAATTAATTAATTAAGTATATCTATTTTAAATTACTTATTACAAAAAAATCAATCAATTTATTATTCTTGTTATTATGATGTTATGGTACCAACAATTCCAACATAATTAGTATATATACATAATGATTAAGTTTCATCATCCATATGTACTAACTAGATTTCTTACTGTTATGATACACGAGTTATTTTGATAATTCATGATATATTATGTAAACTTTTTTATTATGACGGTTGTTATATAAGTTATATTAATTTTTTATATTATATAAATTAATAAAAATTATACTTAATTTAATAAATAATAGTTTTTTTTCTTTTTTTTTTTTACGAAAATCTTAAATACATTTGTTGAAGGATAAAGTCGTGCTCATTGCTTATATATATATATATATATTATTTTTTAATTTTAATTTTAACTTCCGGTTAATGAAATATAATATAGGATTCAATTGATAGAAAATGAATTATTACAAAATTCAATGTATTAAAGATTATACTAATTAATATTGGTTTTAAAACACATAAATATAAAAATCCCTTAACTATTAAAATATATATAACTCATAATAATACAGCATTGTTTGATTGAATTTTATTGTAACGTTCTAATCTAAATTTAAAAATACCAATTTTTAAATTATATTTAAAAATTAATATATACAAAACGTAATAATCAGTACGCTAAATTAAGAGTTTTAATTTTAGCTATAAAATCAAATATTTGTGAAAATTAATTATATATTCAATTCAATCTGATTTGATTAATTTTACTAAAAGTTTTCTTGATCTAATTTTAATTTTTATAATTTATATTTATATTTTATTTTAAATTTAATTGTTGTAACATGTCAAGTCATTATACTTAACAATCTAATTACTAACATATGACAAAAAGATTACGACAAAAATACCTAGAATTATTATTTGCAAGTCATATATGGAAATAGATACTATAATATATATGTAAGAATTTCAGTAACAAATATAGTAATAAACATTTTATACAAGTACATAAATATATATATAATTTCATATACTAAACAATAATTCTAGTTGTCGATCAATCATGTTAAACACAACTAGTCTAGCTATACTAAGGTGGCTCCAAAAAGATCAACACCATCATTACCGATATAACCTCAAAAGGACTCCACCTGTAGCTTATCCTTATTCTACTCGCATATTAAATATGATTATTATAGTCTAACCACTTGAAGACATGTAAGGGTAAACTAGTATTAAAAAAATAATCAATAATGAGTTGTATAAAAATAGGAATTTCTACACTACTAATATAAACAACTCAACAATATTATTCACACATCATCAACTATACCAAATCCTCAACATACCACACTATCAACATGACATATAATAGCACGACACATCAATCAACTTGAGTAACACAACACATAACATATGCATCACACAACTCAACAACCAAATAGGCACAATAATCAACCACATATACACAAAATTAACTACACATGTCTTCATGTATTTCAAATACAGATATCTCTTACAATATAGGTGAACAATCTAAGATATTTGACCCTACTAAACCTGTGAGACTCGTCCCTCTCTTCTCTCCCTCTCAACTCTCACTCTTTCACTCTCTTCTACCCCACTCAAACTTTCACTCTTGAACTCTCTTCTTCCCTTTGCTTGCCTTGGTCTCAATTCTCTAGACTCTTTGGGTGTGTAGGTGTTGATTCGTAGTGTTGGAAGCTAGCTGAAGTTCTCCTTCTCCGTTGATCTCCGTTCGTTCTTCTTCTTTTTCTTTTTCTCCGCTTGCCCGAAACTCAAAATTTCGTCTAACCGAGGTAAGGGAAGCTAGTTCTTGGCTGTATTGTGTGCAAAATGAGTTTAGAAACTCATTTGTGGTATGATGTTTGATGATTTTGGCTGAGATTGAAGAAACTTCATTTTTCGGGGTTTCGGGGTTTTGATGAAAATTTGGAGTTTTTGATGATTGATGGATGAATGTTGAACAAGATAGGATTTTTGGGGTGTTTGATGAAAATGTGGGGTTTTGGGCCGATTGCATGTGCTTGGGGTGCTGATTTTTGCAGGTTTTGAAGGAAATTTTTGAACTTGGGGAGTTGTTGTTTGGTATCACGCCGGGCGCAGTTCTTGGCGCCGGGCGCGTGACCATTAGAGGGCTCCATTGGTCGAGCCCGTTGGGCGCAAGTGGTGTGCGCCGAGCGAGCTGAAGGACGGATGCCCCTAGATGGCTCACGCCGGGCGTGGTTGGACCACGATATCAAGAAGTAACTTGGCATTTTGGGATTCTGGTGTGGCACCGGGCATGACTACGTCTCGTCGGGCGTGGAGACTCTTGGGGAGTATCTGCCAGAGGTGACGCCGGGCGCAATTGGTAATTGCGCCGAGCGCGAGACCTTGGGGAGGTCTCTGCCTACCTTGTGTGCTGAGCGTGGGTTTGGCATGCCGGGCGTATGAGACCTCCTGGGGTCTCTGCCTCCTATCACGCCAGGCGCAATAGAAATTGCGCCGGGCACGTTTAAGCCCTGGTGCTCTCTGGTTGGGCCATGCCGGGCGCGACCAGGAGTGTGCCAGGCGCGGATGTGATGTTCACTTATATGCTGTTACATGCTGATATTAGCTGAAATGTTGATATATGTTGAGCTGAGCTGTTATTGATGAATGTTGAGCTGATTTATAATATTGTTGTGCTGTAAAATGTTAAGTTGTGATATATGCTGCCATTGTTGTATGTTGTGTTGTGCTGCATGATGATATAAACTGTTGGAGGCCGTAAGGTTGAGCTGTTGTAGGCTGTAAGGCTGAGCTGTTGTAGGAGATCTCCGAGCTGATATGCGTGATGACGCATTGTTGTTTATTGCAATTATTGCTGAATGATGTAAGTTGTATATTGATGAGTTGTATGTCGATGATTGTTGAACTAGATGATGTGCTGATAAGCTGTAGTTGTTTCTAATTTGCTGTACTTATATATCTATATATGCTGATTCTTTTCACTAGCTTACCCTTTGTTGTTTCCATGTGTGTAACAGCCCAAAATCGCTGGGCCAGAGGCCCAATTGATTGCCCGGAATGGACCGTTTCAAAAGTGAAGGGGGCCGTTCCGGAAAAAAAAAAATGCCAAAAATTAGAGAGGCAGAACGGGCCGTTCTGGTTTTGGAACGGGTCATTCAAGTTGAGAATTTTGCGTAGTTTTGAAGGGTCCAGAACGGCCGTTCCACTTTTGGAACGGGCCGTTCCGGTAGGTGAGCCTGAAATTCTATAAATAGCGCCCCTCACCTCTCATTTTCACACATCTCTCATTCTCTCTTCTTATTCTCTTCTGTTCTCTCTTCTTTTTCTCTTCTTTTCTCTGAAGACCAAGGGGCACTTAGAGGAGGAGACCAAGAGATCCTTGTTTTAGTTCAACTGCTGTTTATCCGGGTACGGGGGAAAAGGGAATTATTTATATGTAGAGTTACATGAGAGAATTGGGTAGAGGAAGAATCCCTTAGGATTATGAGTAATTTTATAATTATTTCTGTTTGAAGAATTATTGGTCTTATTTGATTCTGTATGTGATGAGGATTATAAATATGCTAATAATTTGTAAGAATGATGATCTGGGAGAGAGAACGAAATTGTAGAAAAGTGTCTGTGAGCTAGGTTTTGGAACAATTGGGGGTTTTACTGTTTATGTTGAAATTATATTAAATTGGTAATTTCGTGGAGTATTATATTAATTTATGAATGTTATTGCTAAAAAAATTGGTGATTTAGAAGTGAATTGCTTGAGGTGTATGAAACCCATTATTTTGGACTTATCTGATGTGTGTATGGAATTGAACTATGAGATGTTGTGTGGAATGTGAATGAGATGTGATTATGGTTCTTCACACCTATGACCAGGGGTGAGCACGGCCCGGGATTGTTACATGGGTATCGTGACCTTGGTTAACATGTCAGGGGTGAGCACGGCCCTAGGTTAGGGGTAACGTGACCTTGGCACAGTGTTATATCAGGGGTGAGCACGACCTTGGATTGTTAAATGGGTAGCGTGACCTTGGCATAGTGTGAAGTGCAAGATTTGTGATGATTGGTGTGATTGAGAATTATGACGTGATGACGACGTATGATTGATTGAAATACGATATGTTGAAATATTTATGAATATTAAGCTATAATGAGATAATATGTTGTGTTTTCTTATGTGCTATATATATAGATGTTTTCTTTTATCACCGTATAACTTGTGGATGTTTTAGGTGAGGAAGATCCGGGCTATGAGGGACATCTAGAATGTCAACAGTTAATTTATGGGTATGCTCTGATATTGTGACATCGGGGCAGAGGATTTCTAGGACATGAATTGTATTTGTATATGGAGTTGAACCTATTAATTTGAAAACATTTTGTAACCTCTTATGTTTTATTTTCCAACTTTCATTTTCAGACTATTTTAGATATTGAAGAATGTTTTTAAAGGTTTTTATGTGAACCCTTTTACCTATGTAGAAAATTTTATTTCTTAGTTTATTTATATTATTACAATATATGTGTTGGGGTAGTAAGGGTGTCACAATGTGGATTTGACTGCAATGATCATACTGTGTATGAGAGCAGAGCAGAGTTAGGTTGGTGTTTTGAGGAGGGTCTGCAGCTGGCAGATGGAGTTTATACTTTTGTTGTTTTTGGCCACTAGTTTGGCTAATCTGGATGTATTTTGTACATTGAGCCTCGAGCTAGACATATTGTATATATTTTATTTTATATATGTATATTCTTGTCTGTGTGGTGCTGTATTGTGAGTAGTGTGACGGTTAGGCGGGTCGTTACAAAACTAACAACACCACTACACAAAATGATCATTAAAAGTCAATAATTGATGAAAACTTATAGTGTTACAGTAATAATTACAATTTCTATCCAAATATTTATTTT